GAAGGGAGGAGGCCCGGTTCCGGCAGTGGCTGCCCTCACGTGCTTTCCCGGCCACCCCCACCCCCTCCGGGCCGCCTGCGTCGAGGCAGCCTAGCCTGTTCCTCTTCCCGATTGCGATTGCGACAGGCGGGACTCGGCTCCCAGCGCTCCCTGTCCCCGCCCCGCGGCCGGCTCGCTCCACTCCCACTTCCTGAGCCCAGCGGCTGGAGCCCGGGAGGCCAGGCCCCGCGGCTCCCGGCCCCCGGGGCACGTCGGACCAGGCCAGCTCTAGCCCCCGGGCTCGCTGAGCGGCCACCTCCGCGGCCCAGGACTCCCAGCCTCCTTCCAGGTCTCCTCGGCCGTCCGATCAGCCAAGTGGCCGCCATGCGCCTGCACTGGGCCGCCCTCCCCGGCGGCCTGGCCTGGGGGCCCATCGTGATGGCGCTCTATGGGCTCCTGGCAGCGCCCCAGCCCCGACTGGTGAGAGGCCCGTTCAGGCTGGGTGGGGGTGAGTGAAGGTAGGGCAGAGGGGACTGGGCCACTCTCTCTCTAAGTCTCCCGCCTCCCCGAACTGACCTCTGAGTTCTTCTCCCCCACCCCACCCCACCACTTCACACCTCGCCAAGGTGCCACCCTACCCCTCGGAGAACCAGACTTGCCAGGAGCAGAACAAAGAGTACTACCACACCAGTCATGGGGTCTGCTGCTCCAGCTGCCCCCCAGGTGAGCGGTAACGGAAGCCTGGGTGGGGAGATGGCCTCCAGGGGGTCTCCGGCCCCTGGCTGCCTGTCTGCAGGGACACCAGCTGGTGGAAGCAGTGTGGAACACTGGCGGCCCCAACCTGTAGGCGCTGAGATGCGCTCAACTTCAGCGAGTTGTGCACCGTACCCAAATTACCCAGGGGGAGGCCCATCGAGGCAGAGCGACAGCCTGCAGTCCCACAGCAAGTGGCAGAAGTGAGGGTGGAGACCTGGTCGCCTGACATTCCTGCTGCCCCCCTTGCCCCGCAGGCACCTATATCAGCACTGAGTGCACCCGCAGTCGGGACACAGATTGCTCCCCGTGCGCCCCGAATTCTTACAACAAGTACTGGAACTACCTCACCAAATGCCAGCTGTGCCGCCCGTGTGACCTGGGTAAGTGGGCCGGGCCTGGGGAGGGCCGGGGTGGCCTGGAGCCAGGCCCCTGAGTCTCTTGTCTCCCTGCCAGTGATGGGCTTCGAGGAGGTGAAGCCTTGCACCAGGACCCAGGAGACACAGTGCCTCTGTCAGCCAGGAATGTACTGCTGGGATCCCACGTGTTCATACTGCGAATCACTCTCAGTCTGCCCACCTGGCACTGAAGTTGAGCCCAAAGGTCAGAGGAGAGGGCAAGGAGGGCGCTCTCTTGAGTGAGGGCAGGGACCATGATGCCCTGCCCAGAGTGGTGACCAGGAAATGTTTTGGTTGTAACAAGCTCGGTCTCACTTCGGTGAGGAAGGCTGACCGCAGGGTTTGTAAAGACTGACCCAGGACAAATGCAAGGGACTCAGCAGGGCCCCCTCTCAGCCCCCAGGGAAGCTTGGGCAAGAGAGTGGGCATTTGGGGATGGGTCAAAGATGGGGGTGGGTGGTCAGAGCGACGGATCAGGGTAGGTGGGCCAGAAGGAGGCCATCCACTGGGGGTTCCTTCTGCCCACTCACCCTGGCTGGCCCTCCCTTTGCCTTGCAGATGGAAACAGAGGGACAGACAACAACTGTGTACCCTGCAAGGCAGGACACTTCCAGAACACCTCCTCCCCCAGCGCCCGCTGCAAGCCCCACACCAGGTGGAGTATGCCCCCGCCCTCGCCCTTACCTCCCCTGTGCCCCAGGATGCCCCACTAGTGATGATACCTTCCCCCCCAGTGCTTGATTTCTCAGCTCCCCATGCCACGTCTCGTCTCCTGTGTCCGTGGGGCTGGGAGTGCGAGGCGGTCATAGGCCTGTCTTTCCTCCGCAGGTGTGAGGACCAGGGCCTGGTGCAGGCAGCTCCAGGAACCACCCAGAATGACACTAGTTGCAGCCATCCCACAGGGCGGCCCCCAGAGATGCCAGGTGAGGGGCCGGGGCTGAGGGAAGGGGCACAGGGCAGTCCAGTCTGGGAAAATACTTCCACATTTTTCAGGCTTTAATGCTTCGTGTGTGTGTGTGTGTGTGTGTGTGTGTGTTTTAATGAGGAAAAGATGATTCCTTCTCTCCCAGAATTGGGGCAGGAAGAAAAGTTCCTTAGAGAGAAAGTGCAAAGACTGTCTAGGTTAGTTTATGTACAACAGGGGTTCTCAACCCTCCTCACGCTGCGACCCTTTCATACAGCTCCTCGAGTGGTGGTGACCCTCAACCATGAAATTATTTTCATTGCTACTTCATCACTGTCATTTTGCTACTGTGATGAATCAGGTGACCCCTGTGAAAGGGTCATTCGACCCCCCAAGGGGTCGCAACCCAGAGGTTGAGAACCACTGAGGTACATGAATACACACACTTTTAAAGAGATGAGGGCTGTGAACATGTCGCGCAAAAATGGATCTAAAAGGTAATGGCATTTCCCACAAACTTCTGGAAGCCTCCTCGTCTATGTGATTGATACATATTAGCTTATAAACTACATGTGATATTGTCCCCCACTGAGACGTAATTAGAACTGAACATCCTCATAGGATCCAGTCACTAGATTAAATGCCCCTTTATGCAACAGCCCGATTTTGTTATTCTAGAGCTTATCACACACTTAACTCAGCCTCCGTTATGTCTACAGACTGGTCTCCTAGCCAAGCAGCCCATTCTGGGATGTTTCTAACCCGACTGTAATTGAGGGCAAGGCTTTATTGACTTGCGTAAATGACCACGTATTGACAATCAGCACTTCTGTGTCTTCAGAGCGAAGGCATCAGGCCTTTTGTGAAACCCTTTCCATTCCCTCGCTCTGAATCCTCTCAGTGATCCGATAAAACTCAATGCTCGCGGCGGCCAGAGTTGGTTCTGACACAGAGCTCCTCTGGAGGACAGGCTGCAACAGCCCCTGTGGGTTCCAAGACTGTCACTCTCGCCATGCGCAGAGAGCCTCATTGTTCTGCCAAGTGACTGTGGTTTCGAACTGCTGACCTTGTGGTTTGCCGCCCCACCTGGAACCACTATGCCACTAGGGCTCCTCGATGGTCCTATAAAGCGGGTCATCCACTGCTTCGTGAGCCCTGCTGGCACTGTGGGGGAAGCACTGAGCTGCTGAAACCTCAGGAGAAAGCTGAGACTTTCCGACCTGGGAAAAAATGACTGCCTCGGGTACCCTCGGGAACCGTCTTCTCTGTCCTCTTGGTCACTGTGAGTCCGAAGTAGCTTGACAGTTATGGGTTTGGTATTCCTAGCCCCCCTGACTTGACGAGGAAACCGAGGCGCGGAGGGTAAGTGACTTGCCCAGGATCGCTCAGGAGGTAATGGTGTTACGAAGAATGGAGTCAGGTCTTTCTGTCTCTGAGCCCATGGCTCGATGCCTGCTTCCTGTAGAGTGCCCGGCCTGTGCGCTCTTAGCAGATTGCGAGATACGACTGTAGGCATGGCAACACAGCTTTCGTTTTTTCTAAAATGAGAGTCCTTTTGGTGCGCTATGACCCAATTCTTCCTTCAACGGTATCCCAGGGAGATTTTCTGTGCCTTGCCTCCTCGCTATGTTTGCAACTACCTGTTGAAGGCTACTAGCATTTTACCCACTGCCGACAAGCCAATGCCAGGGCCTAGCGACCCTACGTAACGTCTCCAGGGTTGTGAATCTTGATGGGAACAAATGGCCTCATCTATCTCTCACGGAGCAGCTGGTGGGCTTGAACTGCCCACCTTGTGGTTTCGTAGCAGCCCAACACTTACCCGACAACGTCACCAGGCCTCCCTACTAGCATTTTACAGCGGGAATTTCTGAAATTTGTATGTAAGCTAAATCCCCACACACCTGAAAAACCTTATGTCCAGAGGGTGAAGCGACTTAAGCGGTTAACCCAGCTGGGCAGGAACCCCTGTGCCCCAACTCTGCTAGCACAGTCACTGGCCTTGCTGATGCCCATAGGACAGCAAGGATCCGCTGCCACCATCTGGGCCTGAGAGATTGAACTCCCAGCCTCCCATCTGCCCTGAGCCAGGGCATGAAGCCTTTGCTGCCTCAACTCTCCGGAGCCACTAGGCTCCCCTATGCTCACACCCATATCCACACGCCCACTGGTAGAGAGGGACCACCCCAAATCCTTCTACAACGGCTCCTCTGGAAGGGGGTCAAGTCCACAAACACGTGGTCTCTACTCTGTGACCTAAGTGTTCACAACCCGAGCCTCACCCTTCCTGTACTATGTCCTGCCTCCACTTCCAGCTGCACCCACTCCTGCCCCTTGCCCACAGGACCGCCCCCGTCCCTGGTCTGCAGGCAGGAGGGCACTGCCACCACCCCACACTTCTCCAGCATGGAGTCTCTCCCCAGGCCCGCTTCATTTGCCAGCTCTGTCATTTAAAGGGTGTTTCTCTAACTCGACCCAGAGGAACTCCGGCGAGGCTAGAAGCAAAAAGCAGCCGCTCCCTCGCTCTCTGTCTGGGTTGTCCAGAGAAGTGGAGAATTATTCCGTGACTTCCATCCCCTGTCCTGTTGCATCCCGACAGGAACTCTGTCTGTGCTGGCCGTGCTGCTGCCCCTGGTCTCCCTCTCTGTCCTCGCCCTCGGCGTCGCCTGCACCTGGAAGAACCACCCCACTCTCTGCCGGAAGCTGGGTAGGAAGCAGCCAGCTGCAGAGGGGCAGGCTGGACCCTCTGTCCCCGCATGGATGGGCTGAGGGGAGGGAGGAAGTAGCCAACATCCTCGGCAGGCAGCGCCAGCTCTCCACCCTTTCCCACACCCTTAAGACTCCCAGTGCCCGTCCCCAACACAGACATCATCGCCATCTTCATCCACCCCCTCATTCAGGGGCTGGAGACAAGGGTGATGCCAGCCTGCTGTTTTGGGACCTCAGGGTGGGGATGGAGGGTGGGGGTGAAAGGCTGGGATCGAAGGTTTGCCCAAGACCCTCCATCCATTGCACTTTCTGTTGCAGGCTCCCTGCTCAAGAGGCATCCAGAGGTAATGGGGGGAGGCAGCAAGGAGGGGGCAAAGGGGGATGGGGAGCCAGGTAGGGGGAGGTGGGGAAAGAGAGTGCAGGCTTCATGTGGTCAGCCTTCGTTCCCTCATTCCACTAACACTGTATTGAACACACCCTGTGCCAGGCATTGCCCGGCCCTGGGCTGCAGCAGGGAGCAAAATAAACTCCCTGGTCTCCCGGAGACTACATTCCAGTGGGGCAAGAATAAAGCTAAATAGATGCTTATCGAGTGGTGAGAATTGCTAAATTCAGCAAGGTAGGGGATGGGGAGGGACAATGGCAGAGGATGTCCCTTTAGAGAGACTGGACAAGGAGGCCTCTCTGGTAAGCTGGTGTTGGAACAGACCTGTAGAGGCCGGGGACCCAGCTGTGGGGACAGCCAGGGGTGGCAGGGGGAAGTGCTCCCGCCAAGGTCCAGGGGCAGAGGAAGACAGTGAGCAGCCTGATGGTGAAAGAAAAGTGGGGCAGGGCCCGTGTCCTCAGTGGCTTCTCGGTCTCTCTCCTGCAGGGAGCAGACAATGGTGATGTCAGCTGGGAGCCTCTACCCACCAACCCCCCTGGCCTTGACATGGTAGAGCCACTTCTGCCCAACGTGGAAGACTTGCCCCCAGGCCTCACCGGATGCCCACTCACCCCAGTGCTGGAGAACGAGGTTCTGCAACAGGAGAACCCTCCGAGTCTGCCCATGGTGCCTGAGGCGGAGCTAGGGGAGCAGAGTCCGGTGGCCAACGGTGAGCCTGGGGCAGGGAGGCAACCAGGCGGGGTGGGTGTGCAGAAAGGTGGGGAGAGAGGTATGGGTGGCAGTGAGAGAGTATGGGCCAGACAGACAGGGAAAGAATAAAACAGGCAAGACAGAGACCCTGACCACCAGCCAGAGTATCACAACTAGAGAGATGGGTAAAGACACACACCAACCCCGCCGAGCCCCAGAAACAGAAATAGCACAGAGCTAAGAAACCAACAGCGGTGGGGAGAGGACGGCGGCATGCAGGGGGCTGGGGCCTGGCGTCGGGGTGCACAGGCCTCCTCCTCAGTGAACCCCCAGCCCCTCTCACCGTGCCCCCCTTCCCGCAGGCCCCAACGGTATCCACGTCGCTGGAGGGTGTATGGCGGTCACTGGCAACATCTACATCTACAATGGGCCCGTAATAGGGGACACCCGAGGCCCTGGAGATCCCCCGGCACGGGCACCTCCGGAGCCTCCATATCCCATCCCAGAAGAGGGTGTCCCTGGCTCACCCAGCCTGGCTACCCCCCACCAGGAGGATGGCAAAGCTTGGCACCTGGCTGAGACAGAGACACTGGGGGGATGCGCTCTCTGATGGGGTCTGGGGGCCCGTTCTTCACTCATGCTTGATGGTGTCTGCAAAAGTAAGAAGGGAGACTCCGGGAACCTTGTCCCCTGAGGCCTGCTCCCCACCCTACACACACACACACACACACACACACACACACACACACACACACACACACACAGGGGTCCTATCTGCAGGGCTAGGCATCAGGCCCTCTGGAGAGCAGGGCCGGATTTTGGCTGGGAACAGTGACCTGCGCAGGACTCAGACACCACCTGGCAGACCTGGACCCTCCTGCAGGCCCACCTGCCCACTGGGCTGCACCAGCTCAGCTTCAGGCCCGGACAGGGCAGATGTGCCAACTGCTGCCACACAGCACCCTGAACCTGAGCATGGAGACCAGCAGGGTCACTTCCCAGGACCTCCAACGGGCTGGTGGTGCTTAACCCCACGCTTCAGAGGCCCTCGAGGGCCCACGCTGCACGTGAGCCGAGGTACCCCCGGATGTGGAGAGCAGGGTGTATGGGGGGCCTTCAATGCTGCCTCCTTGAAGAGGAAAGGGAGTTGTTAAAAACTAGGGGTTTGGGTAGGGGTGCTGGGGAGAGTTTTGTAAGGGGGGTGTATTTATACATTGTAACCACGTGCCAATAAAGTGGAGCTTGTGACCCTGAGCCTGTATTTTCCTGGGGTGTGTTATAGGAACACCGTTCCATGTGACAATGCGGCAAAGAAAGGTCAACCCACTCAGCAGTCATCCCACAAAGGCATTTGTATGGGGGGGCTGGCGTTGTGTGGTTCGGGGGATGACGTTGGCTGCGGCTCACCGACCCTGTGCCAGGCAGAGTTTCAAGTGCTTTATTATATTAATCTTCACCACAGCTCGCTAGGTGGACGCACAGTGACTCCCCCTTTGGAGAGCTGAGGAACATGAAGGACTTTGCCCAGTTCAGCTGCAGATGGCCACGCTGGGATCCGCACCCCATCAGTCTGACCCCAGACGCCTCGGGCACAAGCCTGTGTGCCACACCCTCCCAGAATTTCTCCGGCGAGGTCCAAAGGGCTGGCAGTCTCTAGGAATCCGTTCCAGACCAGCCTTCATGTCTCAGCCAGTTCTCAGCTCTCCAGCCGCGACGCTGCTGAGGGAACACATGTTCTGTGAGGTCGATTGAAGGGAAAGGCAATGCACTGCCGACAGGAGAGGCCGGAGGCCAAGGTTCAGCACCATGGCAGAGGCCAAGTTGAAAATCTAAGGAGAGGCGCTCATGATCTTTTCTCTTTGCTTGTATTGTCTTTGGTTTCCAAAGAAGAACTTCGCTTGTCTCTCCCCAAGCTCTCCACATCAGGAAGGATCACACCCCTCCGAGCAGCTCTGTTGTGCAGCCTGGGCGAGATGGTCTCCCCTGGAAGGATTGTAGGAAGCGCTGCTGCCAGTGGATCACGCTTCCCATAAAAGGACACTGTTGTGGCTCTAATTTTAAGGCCTCTGCTGCTGGGCCTCATCAGGATGTCATGGCTACAAAACACACACCCCAGGCGTGGTTGGGTGCAGCCGAGCGGATGGGTTATTTGAGGTTGATCGTGAAAGTTGAACCCAGCTCCCTTCGAGGAGTAAATTATGCTGAGCTTCAGGGAGCATTAAATGCTGCCTGCCTAGCAGTCTGCGACAGTCTTGAAGGCGTGGATCCTTAAGCCTGGAATCCCAGTTCCAATGGGCTCAGATTAAACCCAAAAAATGTCAACAAAATAAAGACGGAGAGAATTTTTTTCAAGAGCCACTACGTATGGTGCAGCTGTCTGGGACACCGTTTAAATGTGGGATTTTCACACAGCCGGGCTTCTTCGCCCAGGGCTGTGTCCCTGTAGCTCCCAGAGGCAGCCACAGAGCACCCGCTATCTACAGGGGAGCTCCTGTCTGCAGGGGAAAGATGGTGCATCAATAAAGACAGCAAATAGCCTCTTCACTGTTGTCTTCAGGAGCCGGAAGGAGAGAATTGGCGATGGGAATGCAGTCTGAGGGCAACTGGTCCCCTGCATGATGCTTGAGAACCCCGTCTTGTACCGTGTGGGAGGGTGCCAACACTGCCTCCAACCTAAGTCTCCGTGAGCGTGGAGAGAGCAAGGAGGAGGCTAAGGCCCAGGCCGGGAGAGGGATGGAAAGCATGAGTGCAGTGTGGGCGTAGGAGATGTGGGGGGTAGGGAGCACTGGTGTAAGTAAGAATGTCGCCTTGCAAAAGATGGAGTGGCTCCCACTGACGACTGTGACGGGCCCTTTCTTCTTTGTTTTCCAGAGTTTCTATGGTTTTATTTTAAATTATGCAGAAAGGAGACTGTTTTTAAACACCGCAAAGGAGAAAGTAGGCTGTTTGGTGTGTCTGCACCACCTTCCCATAAAGTTTGATTGATTGCAAGCTTACAGATAAG